TATGAATGACTGATTTCTTTTGTTTTATTCCCCCTAGCCTCTGAGCCATGTTAGATTTTAATATATTGAAAATGGCCTATTGTTTGATGCATCTAAAGCCATCGTGCTATAAACAAAAGTAATTAAGCAAAACAAAACAAAAACAGTCACAGTTATGTTATTGGGGTAAGCATCAAGGCTTTGTCCTTGAAATTAATTTTAGGCTATTTCTTGGCTTTTTTTTTGCTCTAATTTTATTCTTTCAAAAAGCTAGTCTTCAAAGACTCTTATATCTCGCAAATGCAATGACATGCATACAAAATGTATTTGTTGGAGACACCTCTAAGAAACGACTATTTTATTTGACATTAGACTTTGACTTCTAAGTTTAATATTTACTCTTACTAGAAGCATGACTGCAGTAATGTACAATACCTGTAAAAATGTTTTGTATTGTTCATTTTGAAGATGCTGTATCTTAACTTGAGATAAGTCTTCCTATTTCTTAAGAGTCCTATCACGTGTTTGCTGTTAGATATGTGTATGGTGGAGGTGCAACTAGCACCCCACTCAAAAGAGCATAAAACAAATAACTTCCTTTTTAAAACCCTAATTTTAGGAGGCAAACGTGTGGAAACAATTAATCCAACTTATTCGTCAAAATATTATGGTGGCACTGAACCATTTGTACACCTTTTTTTTTAAACTTTCAGAAAGACGAATCCTTACCTTAAACAAGTTTTTGTCTCCTAACCTGATTTTCAATTACGGATAACGGATAATCGGATAATCTTTATTTATTTGTACTCGCATTCATACTTGCTCTAAGCAAAAAAGTTACGAAATTGAAAGAAATTATTAGAAATAAAATTGGAGTACTAGCAGCCTGGAATAACCATCGGGGCTAGCGGAGCCAGGCAGCTAGTTAACATCAGCATTAAATTTAAATTAAAATACAGGTCAGCAAGAAGATTGAAGCACACATGCATACACACACAAGAAAAAAAAAAAAAAGAAACGGAATTTATAAGATATGAAGGAAGTCTAAAATAGTTAGAGTTATTTACGAATACTAAACATTAATATAGGAAGAGCACAATGTCTACGGCAACTAGTAACAGCTATATAATTATAAACTACTAAAATAAAGATGTACTTAAAAAGGTTACAGATTACAGTAAATTGGAAAACAATACATTGCTAATAAGTACATAACTTGCTAATGAGTAAGTAGCTAGACTAGCTAATAGTCTTTGACTAGATCGCATTTAACTATGCTTTTACTGACTCCTTGAAGTTTGAGATTGATAAGGTTTTCAAATACAAGTACACAAAACTGAATTGAAAGTGCCAAATGCGACTTGGTCGATCACCGTTTTTTCAGTGGTTGAAGCAGTTTGCATCTTTTTACTTTGAGATTACTTCTCAGCGGCTCGGGAATTTTCCCCTTCATCCGATTGGTGATTACTTTGGTTTTTGTTTTCCGTCACTAAATCAGAAAGCGCTCCATGTTCTTTATTAGAATCAGGCATTGTTCCAAAAAAAAGTTGAATATCACTGTTATCAGCAGAACATTAATTTTGTTCTCTTGTCCACACGAGAAATCACCACTTTTCGTTATTTTCTTTAATTTCCCAATATACCAATGCCGAACTCTTGTGCTGTGATGCAAATTAATTTTGACTTAAACCGAAAAAGTGTTATTGCCAAGGCAACGTCTCTCTATCTATTCCACATCAAAAATGTGTCGCCCTTAGATAAGGTGTACCGCTATGTTGTGATACCAAACTTTATTGAACTGTAGAAAACAAACTGTTCAACGACACACTAGAACCGAACCGAACACGACACTGAACTATCTCAGTCTCGTCCCAGACTACTGCGGACAATTATTACAACGGAAAGACGATCTTAAACTCTTTAACTTCCAAGATCTGATTGTTAATTCTCCCCTCTAGCTGCCACACATTTCCTTGTAAATTGGTTACGAGAATTTAGCATTTAATCAAGGTCACAACTTCTACCTGATAAGTTTGAGTATTCTGATTGCCTGTTCGCTGAATCATGTATGGATATTATGGGGAGAAATTACAGGTCAATCACCACTGGGAGTTGGAGGGTTAATGACAAAAGACTACTCTGCCGACACATGGACGGAACGATTCAAGCAAACGTCAAAAATTATGTGATGTTCCAGCTCCTTTCTAGCCATCTGCATGTAAAATTAAAAACCGAACTTCCGTTTCACATCGATGAAACTGCATCCGGCTTCATTAGATGTTTTCAAGAAAAGAAATTGGAGAACCTACTGTTGAGAATTTTGCTGTATGTTGTATGTAATGTA